CACTGGTCATCAGAGAAATGCAAATCAAAACTACATTGAGACACCATCTCACACCAGTTAGAATGGCGATCATTAAAAAATCTGGAGAGAGCAGATGCTGCAGAGGATGTGGAGAAACAGGAACACTTTTGCACTGTTGGTGGGAGTGTAAATTAGCTCAACCATTGTGGAAGAGAGTGTGGCGATTCCTCAAGGACATAGAAATAGAAATTCCATTTGACCCAGCAATCCGATTACCGGGTATATAACCAAAGGATTACAAATCGTTCTACTATAAGGATACGTGCACACGAATGTTCATTGGAGCACTGTCTACAATAGCAAAGACCTGGAACCAACACAAATGCCCATCGACGATAGACTGGATAGGGAAAATGTAGCACATATACACCATGGGATACTATGCAGCCACCAAGAACGATGAGTTTCGGTCCTTTGTAGGGACATGGATGAACCTGGAAACCATCATTCTCAGCAAACTGAGAGAAGAGCAGAAGATCAAAGACCGCATATTATCACTCATCGGCGGGTGTTGAATAATGAGAACACATGGACACAGGGAAGGGAGCACTACAAACTGGCGACAGTTGGGGGGAAATAGGGGAGGGAGGTGGGGGGAGGAGGGATGGGAAGAGATAGCAAGGGGAGAAATGCCAGATGTAGGTGACGGGGAGGAAGGCAGAAAATCACACTGCCACGTGTGTGCATATGCAACAATTTTGCATGTTCTTCACATATACACCAAAACCTAAAATGCAATAAAATAAATAAATGGGGAAAAAACAAAAAAAACACGTTTCTTCTAAAAGCTGTGTTTGGATATTCCAGAGTGAATGGGATTATAGGCTGTAGTGAGAAATATCTTGTTCAAAAACAAAAACGGAGCTATCTAACAGAATGTTTGTCAAGATGTAAAATCAAATTAGAGAGTTAAACTGATGTGTGTGTGCAGCAGTTCAGAACTCCTTTCTTTGGAGAATCTAGAAAAAGATATTTCCAGCCATATACAGGCATATAAGAATTAGCAGTAAGACTGCATTTAAAAGACAGAAGAAACGTATATTTCAAACTGCTCTTCTTTGTGTTCTTTCAGCTTGCGAAGTTGCATCTATGTTTAGATTCAGCGAGTAACAAACACGTTTCTTCGTCTTTTTTATTCCCATTTATTTATTTTATTGCATTTAGCTTTTGGGGTACATGTGCGTTTGGATATTGAAGAGTGAGCGGGAGTATAGGCTGTTATGAGAAATATATTGCTGTAAAACAAAAACGGAGCTATCTAGCAGAATGGTTGTCAAGTTGTACAATGAACTTACAGAGTTAAACTGACATGTGTGCAGCAGATCAGAAATCCTTTCTTTGGAGAATCTAGAAACAGATATTTCCCACCATATACAAGCATATAAGAATCAGCAGTGCGACGGTGTTTAAAACACAGGAGAAGCGTATATTTCTTTTTTTTTTTTTCCCATTTATTT